GGTGGGGGGACAGTGGCATTCTTACCTTCTGGCGGAGTCAGTCATTCGCTTTCTTTTCCTCCTCAGGACCTGGACTGGTGGGAGTTCATGGAAATGATCAGAGGAAGAGCTCTTTCTCTGGGTGAAGATTTTGGGGGTGCTGGGGAGGTCACTTGGGTCAATGGAGGAGATGGGAGTTCGAATTCCAAGGGGCTAGGGAAGTTCGGAGGGCGTTTAGGGGAGGAGTGGGGGGCAGGAATCTGAAGTCTGGGGGAGGTATGGGAGGAGAGCCACAGTTGTTAGACTGGCCGGTGTGGGCTCCCCTGGGGGAGATGGTGTAAGGTTTGACAGACCCTTTGAGGACATGGCTCACCTCTTTGAAGATAAAGAAAGCCCGCCACGGAACCCATGCAGAAGATCAGGTAAACTAAAGTCACAGCAGGGACTCTCCAGCCACCAGTCTCCAGCAGCCATTGCCGTACTGCTAGGGGGAAGGAGCTATGAGACAAGGACCAGGGCTGGCATCTTATTTCCCAGCCTCAAGACCTCAAAAGGCCATAAATCTGGGGGACAGGGGCAAGACACAGATCCTCGGAGTCCCAAGCTCCAAGGAGGGCTCTCCTCCCTCCCTCCCCCCTCTGAAGACAGGGACTGTGCCTCCGGGAGCCTGGCACAGGGCCTGGAGCAATATCTATTAAGCAAACCATGAAATGTTAGGGTTAAGGTGAGCGTGATGATCAGCTTCCTGCTGCAGGTAAGAACAGCCATGGTCAAAGCGAAGGGCAGAGTCCCAAGGTTGAAGGTGGGATGCAGCGAGGTGCTGAGGTAAGTTTGAGGGCGAAAGTTGAGATTGAGTTTGAGAAGTGTTTAGGGTGGCATGGTAAGGTTGCGCTAAGGGGGAGAAAATGGGCAGGACATGGTCACAAATTTGATGGATGGGGTAAGGTGTAGGAAGGTTGCCCAGATTCCTGGCTGTGACACATGGACAGGTGGCAGTGTCCTTCGCTTACACAGAGTCACCCAAAAGACTATGCTTGTGGAAGATGTTGAGTTTGATTTTTTTGTACGTAGTGAGCCTGCAGTGCCCATGGGACACCAAATGGCAATTCCAGGAGATGGCTGGGTGTAGGGGTACGGAGCCTAGAATCCAGTCACCAAGGAGCCAAGAGAGAAAAGGAGATCAAATAGGAAGAATGTAGACAAGAATGAGAGCGTGTATACAGGGATAAGAAGAGACCTCAGGACTCAAACGGTGAGGCGTGGGGGAGGCAGGGAGGCTCTTCCAAAGCTGATGGGAAGGAGCAGCCAGCCGTAGGAGGAGACCCAGAATAGCAGTATCTTGGAAGCAAGGAGGAAAGAGGTGGCATCAGTGTTCAGTGTAGAGATTGGGGTTCAGGCCAGGGCTGGTACTAGCCAAGAGGAGCCAAGGTTGGCTGGCTTCCAGTTCTTCCCAATAGCTCTACACGCAGGCCCCACAATTGGGAGAAACCCTACCTGACTGGGCAGTGACTTTCAGCTGCATCCTAATGGTCGTGTTGCCATGGTAACAATGATAGGCCCCAGCATCTCGAGCTCTGGCCTGACGCAGCCACAGAACAGCCCCTCCTCTGAGGGTGTCCAGGACCCACATCTCTCTGATGGGAGCATCCTCACTCAGGTTTAGGCTCAGCAATGAGATGTTGGGCTTTTTGGGATGCACGTGGATCCAGGAGATGGGTCCTCTGGCCACGGAAGCATAAGGCACCTCACAGTGCAGACAGAGTGTGGAGCCACGGGTCACTGTGAGGTCTGGGGCAAGGAGAGCCAAGGCTAGGAACGTGTAGGCCTTGGAGTCTCCTCTGCCACAAACCCTCCAGTTCCCAATCACCATCCCCCATCCCTGGACCCCTCACTTCCTGGCATTTCCCTAGCACCTTACCTTGGTTGAGGCTGTGGTTTGGATTCCCCTTAGGTGGGTCACATGCAGGGTCTGTCTCCCAAATCTCAGGGTGGTCTTTGGTCCAGACATACAGCTGAGAGCTTGTGAGACGACCAGAAGTCCTGGGATGCTCTGAGGACCTGTTCCCCAGGTCACAGTCTGGGTCATCTAGGTTTGAAGCCTTCCACCGGAACAGCTCCCCTGGGAAGAAACCCGGAACCAGATACAGAGACATCCAGGAGAGGCACAGAGACAACAAGACCCAGAAAGACAGAGATAAATAGAAACAAAGACCCAGAGAGAGAGAGACACACAGCGTCTCAATGTTGAAGCCACAAAGTCACAGGAATTTTGAGGAGCCTCCTACAACTGGCTTCCTGCTTGATCTTAAGACCCTCCAGCCCCACCCCTTCAGATCCATTTTAGCCGCCGGACCTCCTCCGTCCATGCTGGGCCTCCCTCATCTCATCCAGCCCTCCCCGCCCCACCCTAGACCTCACCACTGTCCTTCACGCTGACTGTCCAGCCAGGCTGCCAGGCCTGCTCGGAAGGGGGCCCTTGTTGGCACAGGTAGAAGCCCCCCATCTGGTCAGAGATGTTGGAGATGAGCAGCAGGATGCCCAGGCGCCCCACCTGGATGCCCAGGCCTGGCAGCCCTTGGTTCAGCTGTAACGGGGATGCTGCCTGGCACTCCTGATACTGGGCCAGCTGATCGGGGAGGGCATCTGAGGAATCCTTGAGGCACGGCAGCACAGCACTGCCTCCCTCTGTGGAAGGAGAGAGGGGAGAAGAGAGGAGCCAGTAGCCCCCTTCACTCCTCACCCTGGCTTACAAACCCACTGAACCCACACCCCACCAACTGGGAGCGGGTGAGCCCTCGGGATCCTCCTGCCCTCGCCTAAATTTTACAACTAAGAAAATGGAGGCTCCCAGAGGGTAAGTTACTTGGCCAAGGGCATCCAGCCAGAACCCAGGTGTCCAGCCCCGACTCCTTCTGTCTGTGCCCTTCGGACATACCTTTAGCCTCCACCAGCTGTGATTTCTGGGGCCTCACTCCCATGGGGGTGAGGAAGAGGAGGAAGAGAAGGAGAGGAGGTGGCATGGTCGCCAGACTCCCCGAGGCACCCAGCTTCCCCGCGCAGGGGATGCTGGGGCAGGTGGGGAGCTGGTGGGCACTGAAGCATGGGTGTTTGCGGGGGCGGGTGGGCAGTCCCCCCGGGGAGGAAGGGCTGGTTACGCCTCAGGCCCCCTTCTCCATGTACCTCTCCAGACCCACAAAAGTCCCCTCCTCCCTGCTACACTTTTCTTTTCATCCCAGCACTGACGGCCAGTGACATGCTCTTCAGGCCACTTGCTCACTTTCTGTCCCCCCAAGAGTAAGCCCCTTGCAGCAGAGGCTGCCTTGTTCACTGTGTGCATGGCGCCCTGAACAGTGCTCGGCCCGTGGAAGATGCCCACTAAATATTTACTGAATGAGTCTTAGGGGCTCCGTCCTTCTTCCACTCCTCCCTCCTTCAACCTCAGGCTCTAAATCCATTTCCCTTCACACACACACACCTCATTTATTCATTCAACCAACACTTCTTGGGCCACCGTCCACTTCTGTACAACCAGCCCGTCACAGATACTTTGGGATCTGGCAGACCTGAGTTTGAATCCTTTATCTCTACTACTTGGCTAAATTCTTTTTTTAAAATATATTTTTATTGATTTCAGAGAGAGGAAGGGGCAGGGAGAGAGAGTTGAAACATCAATGATGAGAGAGTCATTGATCGGCTGCCTCCTGCACGCCCCCCACCGGGGCTCGAGCCCACAACCCAGGCATGTGCCCTGACCGGGAATCACACCTCGATCTCTGCCCGGCTCAGTGGTTGAGCATCCACCTAGGATCCAGGAGATCTGGGTTCAATTCCCGGTAGGGGGCTTGCAGGAGGCAGCCGATCAATGACTCTCTCATCATTGATGTTTCTCTCTCTCTGAAATCAATAAAGATATATTTAAAAACAAAACCAAAAAAACCTCGATCTCCTGGATCCTAGGTTGATGCTCAACCTCTGAACCACACCCGGCGGGGCACTTGGCTAAATTCTTTGCTCTCTAAGCCTTAGTTTGTTTCTCTGTGAACTGGGGATAATAATAGTACTAATTAAAATATTGTTTGTGAAGATTAAACAGGACAATATATGTATGGCATTTTTAACCCAGCACCCAGCACATAGTAGGCTCTCAGTTAATGAGCGACATCAATGAATGGCTAATACTCAAGCCAGACTGCCACTGCAGCTCCTTTGCAGTGGTCCTGAGAAATGGCAAATGATTACTCCCCTTTTCTCTCCCAGCTCTCCCCCAGGAAGCCTCTGCTTCAGTTGTGGAAGGAACCCCTTTAAAAATGAAGAAATGAGGCCCCCAGAAGGGTAGGGTGTTGCTTGAGATCACACACTGAACAGATGGTAGGTACAATGAGCACTAGAACCCAAGAGTCCTGGCTCTTAAATCGCCCCCCCCATCTCTCTCTCTCTCCCCCTGCTCTTCTTTTTTTTCTTCTGTGCTTCTCTCTCCCGCTCTCTTTCTCTCTCTCTGTATGTGTACGTGTGTATCTGTGTCTTTCACTGCTGCAGTCACTCAGGGAAAGGGGCCAGGGACCCAGGAGACCTGCTTTCTCAGTCGCCGGTTCCCAGGGCTGCCTCACTGGGCTGTGGCTTCCTGTTTGCCTAGGGCAAACCCCAGGGGACCCTCCATCCGGCAGGGCCCCCACTTCCCTTTGGTCACGTTGAGGTAGCTGGCAGGGGAAGAGTGGGGCATTGGGGAATGGAGAGGGTGAGGAAGCAGGACTTTTTTTCTTTTTTTTTTGCCTTTCATGCAACAGGATCTCTCTGATCCTGTCATTAGCTTCCCAGCTGCCTCACGGGCAAAGTCTCCGTGCTAGAGCGCATCAGTCCCCTGCTTAGAACAGCGCAGTGGCTTTGCATCTGCCTAAAGGAAACACTCCGAACCACGGCCTCCAAAGGACTAAGGGAGGCTACACCTCCACTTCCCACCTCCACCCCCCACCGCCCTGTCCTTCAGGGCCCTGTGAACGCCCCTTTTCATCACTGGGGCCTCAGTGCAAGTTGCTTCCTCTGAGAGGCTTTCCCTGACCTGTTGATTTCCTTCCCAGCGTTGGCCCCAATCCCAAAGTGCGCTTGTTAGTCCCCTCATGTGCCTCCTGCCCCTGAATGTCCCCTCTTCCACAGCAGGGATCTTTACTGTCTTGTTCACTGACATCTAGAAGGTGCTCGGTAGGTTTTGTCGTCGAAAGGAAGGAAGTTAAGGAGAGTGAAAAATCACTTTCTTTTCTCTTCCCCTCGTGCACTGTTACCAAGGCTTAGTCATTTTCTAGCCTAGATATTTCTAGAATCAACTTTCTCTTTTTGGACTCTTCCCTTCCCAACCAGAACCGTCTCAACAGCCTTTTTTGGTCGGCTCTCTGTCTTCTGCCTCTTTTGCTTCCCACCTGCACTCCACAGAGAGAGAGAGATAAGAGCTTCCTTGGTATTAAATCATTAGGCTTCAGTGGTTCCAAGGGACTCAGGATAAACCCCAAGCCCGATAGTTGACTGGAGCTTTATTTATAATCATTTCACCCCCTTACCAAGAAACCGTGCCACATACACGTGGAGTCCTGAGGACAAGAAGCTACTGAGGGCAGTAAACTCAGGGATTTATAAGCCAGGCATTGACCTGGCCAGATTTTCGCTTTCTATAAACTCCCCCTGGCTCCAGTGTGGAGGGGAATTGGAGGGAGGCCAGAGAGATCAGTAAGGAAAGTGTTCATTCCTTCCTTCCCCAGATGTTTATTTCTCAGGCACTGTGCTAGGTGCTGGGGAAAGAGCAGGAGACAAGAAAGACAAGGTTCCTGATCTCATGGAGCTTTGATTCAAGTTTTGGGGCCACAGAAGGGTAAAGGGGGACAGATAATAAACAAGTTAACCAGTAAATAATTTCAGATGGTGAAAAGTCTCTGATGTAATCGAATGGTGGACAGATGATTGGGGATGGCTACTTTGGACGGGGTAGTCAGGGAAGGCCTCATTGAGGAGGTGACTTCTGAGCTGAGACCTGACGG